CCGACGTGCAGCAGGTTGACCATTATGTACCCCCCACGTGCTGCAGGATAACCATTAAGTACCCCTACGTGCAGCAGGTTGACCATTAAGTACTAGTAGCCTCGTAGCCTGGTGGATAGCGCGCAGGACTCGTAATTCTGTGGCGCGGGTTCGATTCCCGCACGAGGCAGAAACAAATGGGCAAAGTTTCTTTCACCCTGAATGCCGCTGTTACCTAGCAGTAAATAGGTACCTGGGAGTTAGTCAGCTATCTCGGGCTGCTTCCTGGGGGTGGAGGCCTGGTCGAGGACCGGGCTGCGGGGACACTAAAGCCCCGAAATCATCTCAAGGTAACCTCAAGATAACCTCCCACGTGCAGCAGGTTGACTATTAAGTACCCCTACGTGCAGCAGGTTGACTATTAATTACTACTACGTACAGCAGGTTGACCATTAAGTACTACTACGTACAGCAGGTTGACCATAGTAGGGTAAATTGAGACTACGACCGTGCGCACCACCTGAGCAGGTGAGCCCATTAGGCCACCTTGTTCAGGTTGTGCACAGGTATGTAGTCTCACAAGGTTCAGGGGGTTCCCTGGGTGTGCGCGCGTGTGTCTGGCCGCTAGACGCTTGTCGCTGGGTAGAATCATGTTAGAGTGGGGCATCGGTATGTGGGGCTATGTGGGTCATGTAGGATAAAGTGTAAGTATAGGAACAGGTGAGCAATAGTGGTAGATGAATATGTATGAGTATGTGCCGTAGAGTTAATCGTTTGTAGATATATAATAATAATAATAATAATAATATTAATAATAATAATAATTTATTTAGGAATAGTACATACATAGTTGCAGCGTTACAGTACAAACATTCTGTTAGATTTAAAGATAGAGGTAGTATATACAATACCTATAGCCACTAGTACGCATAGTGTTTCGGGCAAAACAATATATAGTTAAATAAGAGTATGTAGGATATGTTGAGGAGGGTGGCCCACCTACCCCTAACAGGGTGTTAGACTAGGCTCTTAAGATGGGTGGTTAGGGGTAGAGCACGTAAAGGAGGAGAGGGGGAAGGGAGGGGAGCAGGTGGAAGCTTTGACTGATAGCGCTGGTCTCTCATTCTGGTCTCTGTTTCGTGTAGTGTATATATTTTACCAATTCTCTGCCTCTGGTGTGGGTCTCCGCGGGTGATCAGTTTTCATGACAGACTCGAGGGGTGTTCAGCACCCCCTTCCCCCCTACTCTGCTTCCAGAGCGCTAAGGATATGCGGCTCATACCCACCACTTAGGTCTGAGGAGTGACACCACATGACCACATGGGGTCACCTCTTCGAAGGTTGAGGCATAACTGTTGTGAATATCTACATCTGCCTCTACCATAGTCAGTCCTGTCCATCCCTTCCCCCTCCAACCACATAGCAGGGCACACCACATACCACCAGCGCCACCACCACAGGCTGGCAGAACACTCAGGACCGGTGTGTGGTCTTTGACGTCCCACGCTTGAGTGGTCTGTGTTCGCATTAAGGAGGTAGGGTTATATATCGCACCCTCCCCCTCTCCCTCACCCCCCTCCCATGCAGGTGACAGTCATCATCAATCACTTGACAATTCCACACACTTCATATTTCCTCAGTCCACACTCCCACACGTAGCTTCCAGAGCGGTACATACTCAGCAGCATCACTCAGTAAACTCAGTCAAAGTCAGTAGGTAAGCGTTTACTGAATGAGGGAAATATTTTGGGTGGGGAGCGAGCCTTCGGAGGCGGCTCGCCTCAGTAAAGTTTGTCACATAACTGAGGCTACATGAGGCGATACCGCCTACCATAACCGACCGCTGCCTCCCCTCACATTTGACACCCACAAGTTATCACCTTACACGCATTTCTCTTCTCGCTGTACAGAATAATAAATAAATATATAGTTAGGAGAAGTAAACCCGTTTATATATAATTTGTATTCTTTTATTATTATTTAACATCAATCCAAGGAGCTTCGCAATTACACACATCTGGTGGTGGTTTGAGGCGTAGTGAGATGGACGACGTATTGGGATGATCACACCCTCACCCCCCCCATCCACCCCAAGCCCTACCACCCTCCCACGCCCCTCCCAGCCCTCACCATCAACAATCGCCCCACCCTCTCCAGACCGATTGTTCTGTGCAAAGCCTTTAGTATTATTTCTGATCATATGTAGAGTAGTGACCCAGTTCACAAACACACCATTAGGTTTGGAGACTTTAAACCTTACATTAACCGAAGGAAGACTGACAGGTCTCCATCGGAATAATGACAGATGGCACCCATTCCACACGTCCTCACCAGAGGATGGAAGACTAATGTCAATTTTCGGCCCCCATCACTCTTACCCCTTGAAACCTTGTAACGTAACGTGACCATATGGTAAAATCATTCTTTGCCCAAATATCATTTTTAAGAGTAACGAGTGTCGTAAGGTGAACTTCTGTCTAATTATTATAACAAATCATCTTTCTGCAGTCCAAAAATAACTTTTAAAATGTAAAGTATGACTTAGATCATCTCCCTTACATCCCACACCCGATAAATATGACTGTGTGCCTGTTTTAGTCCTTGTAACACCAGGTAACTTAATGTGTCAATCGGCTCTCTGCTGTCCAAGATATCATTTTGTAATGTAAAGTGTGACTTAGTCCATCTCATTACATCTCTTACCATATAAATATTACTGTGTGTCGGTTTTAATCATTGTAACACAATCCACCATAATGTGGAAATCAGCTTTCTGCTTTCCAAAAATATATTTTAAAATGTAAAGCTAGTCTTAGACCATCTCTTTTCATCTCCTACCATATATATATTACTGTGTGTCTATTTCAGTTCTTGTAACACAATGTTTGTCTGTTTCAAGACTCATTTTCTCAATGATTGGTTTCAGTGTTATTTGTTAAAGATAGGTCAATCATGCATTTCAAAGGATTCATTATATACAGGGGATTGATCATTTCATGGCTAATTTTCTATGTTGATGGATTAGTCTTATATATGTTTACTTCGCTAAGAGCCCATGCTTGGAATTTGTATGCGGGGAACATGGCGCACCTAAGGGAGAGAGAGAGAATGAATGACGCGTTTGAGGTAGAGCGAGGTCAGACCTATGACTTTCCTTCACTTCAAGCTCATTCAGGAGGAATGCCTTGCGAGATCTGGGAAAGGTATAATTATTCTATCCTCATAACTTGATACAGTCTTCAGTTCACTGCCACATGTTTGACTAACACGTTGACTGTATTTACTTACTCTTAAAAGTTAAATGAATTAAAAAATATTGTTAACGCTAAGTAAACAGATGCAAGAAGTGAAAGGGAAAAGATACGTGAACAGCATCATCAGGAGAAAGGAATTGATGTTTACTTTTCCCCTAACTATTTAATGATCTGAATAGAGAGAGAGAAAAGCATGAAGGTTGGAAACTAGTGACTGCTATGTGTATCCCATGCAGCTGTGTTTACAAAAAAAATTATGATTTGTTATAATAATTAGACAGAAGTTCACCTTACGACACTCGTTACTCTTAAAAATGACATTTATAATTTTAAGAGAAGGTAGTATCGTTAGCAAATAGTATAGATTTAAGAATATTAGAAACATTTGGCAGATCATTGATGTATATATGAAATAGGAAAGGTCCTAAGATGCTCTCCTGTGGCACTCCTATTATTAATGGTAGAGTGGGAGAGGTTTTGTTATTGATGGATACAAATTAATTGGTGTATGCCACTGGGATAGGATCGAATATAATTCAGAGCAAGGCCTTAGATGCCATCGTGGTGAAGTTTAAGGGGTAGTTACGGTATACAGTATCAAAGGCCTTTTTCAGGTCGATGAAGAGACCAATTGGGAAATAATTTTTTTCAAGGGCTGTATAGATTATATTAAGCAGGCTACTAAGGGCATCATTTTCATCAGAGAGGAACCCTCTTGGGGACGGAAGCCAAACAAGCAAGGACTTAATATGTTGAGTTTTACAAAGTAGGAATGGAGCTGTTTGTTAATAATTTTTTCAAATATTTTTTAAAGTACAGGCAGATTAGATATCGGTCTGCAATTGTTAATACCTGTCTTATTGCCTCCTTTATGAACTGGCGTTATCCGTGCTTTTTTAAGGATTTCAGGGAAATTATGGCACTAGAGATTTGTTGAATAGCAGAGCTATGGATGGTGAATGGGCAGGAGCGGCACTCTTGAATACCATATATGGCATTTCATTAATGTTCCCAGCATTGGTTTTAGGCGATTGAATTATGGATATAATGTCTGTCGGGCTGACTGATATAAGGAGAAGATAGGATAGCTGCCGGTGAGATATGTAGTAGCGTGTGTCTGGCTCTCTGGGATTGTTCTGGTAAGGTCATCACCAAATGATGAAAAGAAGCTATTGAATTCAGTTGCCGTTTCTAAATTTGTTGCAGGTGAATAGCCATCCTTGGAGAGTTTTATCTGTTTGTTATGTGATTGTTGCTTAAATCCTAGGAAGTTAAAGACGGATTTCCATGTGCTTTTCATGTTTCCTTTTGCTTCTTTGAATCTATTCTCATAATAGGAAAGTTTCGCTCTTCTTATTATACTGGTAAGCATTGATGAATATTTCTTATCTTCTTTTGTAACTAGGCTAATCCTAAGTTTCTTGTCATATTCGTGTTTTGTTGTCTGTAGTAATTTTATAAACTTGGAAAAGGCCTGTACATTCGTTATTGCGTAATTTTGATAACATTTTTAATTAATAAAGTGGTTATACAAACCATATGGAATATACATTTTCCATCTGTGATGTCTGTTAGACACATCACGTCACTGGCGGAGGCTCAATCCTCATTTCAGTCTAGTAATCCCTTTATTGTTAATATTAAATTTTATTTTTTTGTTATTGTACGTGCTAGGTTGCCAGTGTCAAGTCACATTTTGTTACACACACATGTTCTTACTATGGCTACCACCTATACTGCCAATGATCATTATGTTCATATTCACAGTCCTGTGTCACCCATGGCTACCGGAACACCCAAGAGGAAGAAAACAAAAGCAGAAGCCTTAACACGAGGAACGAAGGGAATCTCATCCAGAGCCCAGCCAGCAAGAAAGGGATTCATGCCCTCCAGATTTCATTCGTCTCTGCCAGTCAACTCTGATGGATCCCCACTGGCTAGCACTGAGCCCAGCCCCAGGCCACCAAGCGCCTGCTTGTCCTCTGGTGGTCACTCGCCATCCCGTATACAGTTGGAGCAGGTCAAGCACACACTGCATGATGTACAGTCAACTACGGGAAGTAGTTATGCCAAGCAGAGGTCTCCCTCGCTAAGGCCCTCAAGGCCCCCAAACTCGTCATCCACAGCAAGTAAGTTTCCTCATGTGAGCGATAGTCTAACAGTTTTCCATATGATTTTACAGGTCTCCATTATCCCCTTAGGTCACAACCTCTCCTGAGATTGTGTCCCACACGGAGTTGGTGCTCTTCATCACCCCGAGTGCTCACACCTGGCATACTTTCCGTACATCCATAACTTGCATACCTATGATGCCCCTTAGTGCTCGTGTGACCAGTTAAACTTGGAGGGCAGAAAACACAGCATTCGCGTGGATCCTTTTGTGCAGGATATCAAACTCCAGGTATCCCACATGTGGGACCCTCCAGGTGTCCCAGATGTAGGACCCTCCAGGTATCCCAGATGTGGGACCCTCCAGGTGTCCCAGATGTAGGACCCTCCAGGTATCCCAGATGTGGGACCCTCCAGGTGTCCCAGATGTAGGACCCTCCAGGTATTCCAGATGTGGGACCCTCCAGGTATCCCAGATGTGGGACCCTCCAGGTGTCCCAGATGTGGGACCCTCCAGGTATCCCAGATGTGGGACCCTCCAGGTGTCCCAGATGTGGGACCCTCCAGGTAACCCAGATGTGGGACCCTCCAGGTGTCCCGATGAGGGACCCTCCAGGTGTCCCAGATGTGGGACCCTCCAGGCATCCCAGATGTGGGACCCTCCAGCATCCCAGATGAGGACCCTCCAGGTGTCCCAGATGTGGGTCCCTCCAGGTATCCCAGATGTGGGACCC